TTTTTTTTGTTAAAAACGTCAGTTAACTAGCATCAACCCTGTTAAAAATAAGACTCAAGATATATAAAAATCTGCTTCATTTCAAACTTTTTCTTTGTGGACACATTGACTTCCATAGGGGACAATCAGAATTTCCATATTAACGAGTGATAGATGAAGAAAAAGAAAGAGGTATGGCGGAAAACTGCCCGTATTTCCCTAAGTCGGCATTTATGAAAACGGGAAAAAAAATTAAGGAGTAAAGCATTTCGGGTAGCAAAAATGCATACAAAAGATATAAAACCAATTGAATATGAATTTTGAAACTGCTGATAAATTAGGTATTGCTAATATGATACCGCAAATATAGCCATATACACTATATCTATGAAAGTGATGGGGTTTCCCTGACTTAAAAAATACTTTCAACACTTTCCTATCCGAGGACAAACTTTTGAATAAACTTTTTGTGACCGTGATGTAATTTGCAAAAACAAATCGTTTTACGGAAAAGTGGTCCTCCTTTGGGAAAGTGCTCAAAATAATGAAAAACAGGGGTGATCAAGTTTCTCTAAACTGCGACCGGTGTTTCTCGGGTTAAATAAGTTTGTAATTGCCAATATCTATATGTTCTTTGTAGCCGAATGTGTAACTCAGTTTACTTGCGACTAGAAAATAAACGGTGCAGGTTCGAATCCTCCTTCAGTTTTTTAAAAATATTTAGGCATGTGATCATTTTCCTTAATAAGGCAATATTTCTTTTTTTAAATCGATGGAAAATTTTGTTTTCATTTTAAAAACATACCTATTGATTTATCAGTTTTGTTAGTAATAATTTCTTTATTATTTAGTGCGACATACTTTTATCGGAGCATGTCAACAAATCGCTGTACACGTGTACAGTACAGCTACACTTTGTAGGTAAGACTATTTTTGATGAAATTTATGAATTGTTTTACCCTCCAACTGGCAATAGTAATTATATCAAGTGCTTAAACACCAACAAATAATGCCGAAATACCAAATATGTGGTCTGTTTGCAATAATCTATTCTTAGACACGGGATTCCGATATTGCTACCTGTATAAAAATACCCGAGGATGCGTCATAACAGTGCACGGGTGGATGCGCGCACTAGCGTAACATGGCTTTGGGGAAATAGGCATAGCAACCCGCCATATCTCTTTCGGCTAAAATCTGTACTAAATAGGACGTGGGGAGGAGGAGGAGGGCCATGAAGTCTTAAGTTTGTTTTACCACCATTAATATCTCTGACAAGTTTCAACATACGATACAGAGGTGACCTTGTAAACCTTAAATAGCGTCTACAGTCTATATTATTCCCATGCATACCCCACGCGTCAAACTTTCGAATAAACGGTCTATTGACACTAAGCATGTAACAGCAATAAGACAATGTAAAGTCCCTTCGTCTTAAAACAGGACATTTGGACATAAATTAGTTTCCTAGATGTGGACCATGTAAACAATCACTGTAAATTGCTGAATACAGTAAGTTATTGGATTCTGATCTATGTAGGGTAATCATATTATTGCCAATCTGTCTTGTGATTGTGGCCACGATGTCGGGGATCCAATTCATTTTCGTCTTCAATGTTTACTTCATCTAATCGACTGATTCATTATGCTTAACCATCTTATCTGGTACACTGATACAGCACTAACCTTGACCGACTTCAAAACATTTAACTATAGATGCTAATTTGCATAGGAATTTATGAGGAGTTCTAAGCGGTTTGTCAGTCTTTGACCAATCCAGCCAACCAACCAGACCCCTTTTACCATTTTATTTGTCGCACTCACTCTCTTCTGACTACCAAACAGATCACA